TCGCCTCCCTTACCAGCCCCTCCCCATCGTTTCCATATTTCACAGCTACTTGAAAGTGAGACGATGAGTGTGTGTGTATAAAGCGTCGTCATGTTGCCGCCAACTTGTGGCAACCCTGTTGGGTTTTCAATGCACAAGACATTCAGAGAGGGTTCACCATTGCCTGTTTTGGCATAGTGACCCTGGACTTCCTTGGTGGGCTCCCATCCAAATACTAACCAAGGCCAATCCTGCTTAGCTCCAAGATCTGATGAGATCGGGCTAGTGTTGGGATTCTTTGATTCAGGGTCGATGGTCGTATCGCAAACACAAGAGCCACATTGCAGTTACTCTCAATAATATATGCTAACAGCTACATCTTTCTATCTGTTTTGGCTTCTAGAAGAGAACTACTGCTTTGGTTCACACAAAGGGCCATAAACTTGTGAATACATTAATGCTAGATCAAAGCATTTCTACAAACAAGATGTTAGTTGACCAATACAAAGGTTACAGGTCACTTCATTAGGATAAACAACTCCCACAAACTTTCCCTCCGTTGAATACATTATGTAACGTAACATCCTGTTTCCTAGCAAACAACATTTAACTCTGTAATGACTGAAGTGTAAGCAACTTGCAATTCCAACAGCTAGCCTGGGCCATCCAGGTCAGGTGGACTATGAGATGGTGTGCTTCAAAGAAGCCAATGAAGAGCCTGGCTGGAGGGGCAAATAGAGAACAAACTGGTTGGGAAGCACATGCACCTGAACTGAAGAGACCTGTACAGTCTTCAATTGCAAGGATCCCTTTCTGCCTTCTGCTTCAGGGGGTATAAGCCCAAATGAGTCAAAAAACGAAATTCCCACTTTGAAAATCTTCACGGCAACTTTTTCCTGTGTGACAGATATCCTTCCCTAGCCTATATTCATAATTTCTTGCCAGAAATTGCCCAAATTGAAATTATATAGGATGCCAGCAAGGGAACAGATATTACAGAATCAGTTGGCCACTTAGAGATTGCTAAACTACTTCAATTGCCACCCACAACTTACTTTTACCTTTGTAGGGCTTGTTAACTGGATGGAGTAGTGAAAGAAGCAATTTTGAAGACTCCCAGCCCCCACCGTCATAATTCCACAGCAATTAGCACTGCTGTGTCATCTTAGTGGTTCATGTCCCTCGCACAGTTATTTGGGACAAAAGCCAATTTTTTAAACGTCTGAACAATAAATGGTTATTTACGGCAGGCTGTGTAACACACACGATATGGGAACAAGGCTGGAAATAGACAAATCCAAGAATATAGCCAGGGGGTGGTGGTAATCTACATTATCAGTTTGCCAGCATCAGCAGCTTGTAAAGGACAAACATTTGAAAAAGCCACCATACTTTTGATTCCAACTATAATTTCTCCTAACTCAAAAACCAGGCCTCCTGTGAAAAAAACACGGCTATCCATCTGCTGTTCCAGGGACTCATACCAAGCACCATAAATAGGGAAAGGATTAGGAGTTCTTTGAGGAATGAGATTGGAACAATCGAGGGGCCCAAATCATAATAGAAAAAGCATCGTCAACATGTGCTTTGCACTGTTCTCTCCCCTTCTTGTTGCTTTCGCCCAACAGAGGTGCCCACCTTGTAGGATTTGAAAGGAGTGGCCATCTGCATTACTCCTTTTGAGTTCTGAAAATATTTCACGATGATAATCTGCAGGCATGTCAGCTGTGAAGAAGTCGTGTCAAAGAGAGAACAATGCAGGGACAAAGTGTGCACACATAAACCACCTTCATGCAGCAAAACAGTAAAGATGGTGCTTCGCACATATGCCTGCAAAGCTGTACCTCCCAGAGAGAAGGCTGGTACTGGCACCTTTTGCTCCAAGCAGGAGGTCATTTTTTTGCAACATTAAAACAAAGGTTCATATTTCCTGCCTTTCCTTGAAAACAAGGAAAGAGACAAACTTTAAGACACCTTTGTTCCAACAGCTGAGCCTGTGGCTCTTCAATAATGTGGTTATTGTGTAGTAAGAGAACATTTAGCATGCTATGCAGCCGAATGTGGGCATATTTATGTTGAAAGGATTTCAATGGGACCATTAAGCATGTGCTGAACTCTTTCATTGAAAGCGACAGGACTTAAAAGTGCTCAGTTTCGACTGCATAGTGTTGCCATTCATTTAAAAAACAAAACCAAACCAGATGCTGCTAAGTGCAATTACTGTTGATAATTAATGACCAGTAGGTTTAGAACAGATAAAAGGAAGTACTTCTTCTTCCAAAGAGTGATTAACACATGGAATTCACTGCCACAGGAAGAGGCGGCTACAAACAGACAGCTTCAAGAAAGGATTAGATAAATAAACATATGGAGCAGAGGTCCATCAGTGGCTATTAGCCACAAGGTATAAATGAACACTATGTCTGGGGCAATGAACTGGATGGGCTATTAGCCTCATCCAACACTCTGTGTCACACAGTGGCCAAACACTAGATGCCATCAGGAGGTCCACCAGCAGGGCCAGAACTCCAGAAGCACTCTCACTGCACACACACCCAAGCACTATGAATACAGAGAATCATTGCCCCAGACATAGTGTTCATTTATACCTTGTGGCCCACTCTCTGTAGTGAGCACATATGGTATAAAGCTTGCTACTGTGCTACTAAAGTAAGAGGCCATAAGTCTTCCATTTCCCCTGAAAACTGCTGGCATAATATGGAAGCCATGTGACTACCAGAGTCCTTTCTCAAGAATCTGATATGCAGCAATGACCTCATAAAATGGTATTTTAAACATTACAAAGCTGCACAAGGTTTTCCAGGGAAACAAAAATAGCCTTAGAACCTCAAGTGCACTTACAAGGGCAGAACCTGAAACCGACAATCCCTTTGTCCTTCCTGTTTCTATGGAACGCATTAAAGCCCACTTATCAGCATAATGTATGTATTCCAGAGTTGCTTAATTCTTAGTTGCCATAGTAACAAATGCTTTTTTAAAACCTTAATTAGAGACATGCACAAATGGAGGGGAATACTTCACCTTTGCTTAGGCAGAGAGCAGAATCAGGGCTCAACTGTACTATTCTCAGCATCTGATTTCCAGCGATGCCACATTCTCTCAAAAATCTGTGAGAGGCCAGCTAAAAAGGCCAACGTGGCCAGTTAGGGTAGTCACAATTTGCCACTCATCTCATTGCCCTTTAACAGATAAAGAACTCTGACCTCTTTCCACACGTTGGGTCCCCTCTCTCCTTTCCCGGATGTGGGGGGTGTGTGGAAACACCACCAGGCCCCTCCCCTTCTCAGCCCCCCACATGGTCAAACCCAGCAGCCATCAGACCCCTGCCCTTCTCTATCTGAGGCCAAGGGAAGTCTTGCCAGCCAAATGAAGCCCCGGTGCATGATCGTTGGGGCTGAGAGCAGCCCAGTTCCTTTTATTATCCATCTTCTGCACAGGGCTATTGGAGCCAGGGAACCCAATACTTCTTTCCCTTATTCACTGCCACCACACAGTTAATTAAATTCACTGGCCATGGCCATCAAGGTTGGTATGTATGTGTCTGTGTTCTTCCCTGAAACACTAGACATCCAGTCAACAGGATTTACACAGAGAAAAGCAGAGTTAATTTTTACTTACAACTTCAGCAACATGGAATGACTCAAACACAGCAATATATTGTTCCTAGTATTTGAACTTTTGATCAAAGATCACGCCAGCAGTTACTATTTACAAAGTATCAGTGCCCAGAAGTTGGCATTAACACATGCTGCTTCCTTCACAGACATAATCTCACTTTTCTTCCCAATTGCCTGTCATCAACCACCAGCAGTCCTCAACATTCTGTCAGCCCTCATAGTCTGCCTCTGGGAAAGGCAGAAATTGACCTGTCCACTGCAGCCAGGTATGCCCTTCCCTCCCAATATGTCTCACACAGAAAAATTTGGAAACGTCAGAGGTCATCTGTATAGGACCCATGGTAGCTGACTTAAGGAAGCGCAGGCTTCTGTTACGTAGAAAGGTGAATGACCGAGTTGAAATCGTTGCACTCATCATAACCTCTATTAATCAGAATGGCAAACTAGTTAATTCTCAACTATACAGAGCACCAAGCTGAAAAGGACATATATTTTTAATCATTTCCGAGACATAAAAATGCAATCACAAAATTGGCAGATCTTAACTACCAGGGCAGCTCCATAATGCAATTGAAAAGATGACTCGGAGATTCTCTGATTTTGCAGTCCGGTCAATGCACTGTATGTATATTTTGTATTGTTTTTATTGCATTGTCTTTGAGCTGTTGCAATGCTCCTTGAGTCTTGGTGAGAAAAGCAGACTGTAAAAAAGCAAATAAGACGAAGACTCTCTTCCTTAAACCTGTTCAATGCATGAAGGAATCAGATCCAACCCAAAGGGCCAAAAGGCTCACAAAAGGATCTTCACCTGCTACAAGTAGCCAGAGAGACAAAAATCTGTGGCCAGTAAACTATGCTTCAATTGTATCATTCCACAGGGTTATATCTGAGCCAACAGATATTCTTCCCCATTCAAAGTTTGGTTGTTTACAAAACAAGACACGACAAACAAGGCTGGGCAACATATAGACCACCCAGAAAAGCCAAGTAGCACCTTCTAAATGAAGCTGGATATTAAAAGATTCCTAGGATTTCCTTGATGTATCTGGGTCAAATATCTCTTGTCCACAATGCAGGCCAGATAAGTCTCATTTTAATGGCATTCAGCATATACAGACACTCAGGAAGTGCTATAGACTCCTCCAGAATAAAGCCTGCTATATTAATTTCTGAGTGCTTTGAAGTAATAAACTCCTAGTAAGAAACCCTAATAAAAGTCCAAAATAACCATCTGTATAAGAGATACCATCCTTCCTTCTGAAATGCATATTTCAAACTGGCCAAGGCAATGAAAGGATTCCAAGGAACTCAAACTGCATGGACAGCATAGCTTTCCTGGTCTAAAACGATACACAAAAATGATGCACATATACAGCTAGTTGATACACATTTATTAGAAGCATCTATGCATGCTTAGAATGAAATTCAGAGTTATAAACAGCAGCACAAAATGGAAAGTAACACAAAATGACTAGCACAAAATACACATTTGCTTTTTTAAAAAAGCATTCAATGCCTACCAGTGAATACATAAATATATAATTAGCATATTATTCCCTAATTTTAAAAAGTGTTTGTAACACATTTTACCTGTTCTGAGAAGCTCATTTTCAACCCATTTTGGGGACATTTTTGATAGAGTGTACATTGGCTTAGGTTCACCAGAGACTTCCATGGATGGAAGGCATTTCCACCTAGTGGTGTGCAACTGGATACTGCCAACTAGATAAGACCCCCAAGTGCAGCCCAAAATATGCCCCCAAATGCTGCTCTTGATGCAAAGGGGACCCCAAGAAAAAACATGAGGGGAGGGGAAGGGAAGTCTGAGGTCTGCACTGGGAGAACAAACTCCTACCCACAGAAATCCTCTGTCGGATCCAGTCATTACCTGGGAATGATCCAAAGTTCAAGCACTTTTAACTCCCGGCACTCTGCAATAGAAGAATTAAACACATGCTGGACTTTCACTCAAAACCAATGGGCACAGACTTAACTATCATTTTCAGAGAGTGCATGGGGAACAGGTTAACTAGGTTGAGGGGGGGGTGCTCGCGTGCCCACACAATGAACAGAATTCTGTGTAGGAGGAAACCTTTTTCTGACTGAACCTCATGCACACTGAGCATGCCTGAGGTAAGCTACCTAACAGATACTTTCTATATATCTAACAGCCAAGTGTGGGCCGATCTGCAGATATCTAAATCCGTGGATTGGACGCACACTGTCAGTAACAGAGGTTTCTGCAAACTTGGGGGACTCCTCCCCCAAGGTTTGCAGAAAAATCTGAAACTAAATAAAGGAGGGGGGAGTTTTAATTCCCCCAGAATAACAACATTGTCTGTGCATGCTCAGACAATGGACTTACCTCCTGTCCTGGAGGCACAGTGGAGAGCTGTTCCGGACCCAGCCGCAGCGGCATTCAGGAGTTGCTCCGGACGTGGAGGTCTGGAGACACGCTGAGGGGGTATGTGCAGGATTGGAAGGGAGATGCGCTGGCACTCATTGGGTAAGGGAGAGATGGGATTCCCCTCTGTGAATCCTGTGGGTACCCACCTGTGTGCTTTATAAGAGTTTCACTAGACTTTCTACCCATGTAGATGGTTAAAGAGACTTTAATAGCAGCAGCTCTAGGTCAGATTTCCATTTGTGAGCTCTGCAATCTCATATGTTAAAACGTCAGGATGCTGTGTGTAATCCCTTAAGATCTGTTCTGCCAGGGATGGTGTTTTCCTCCAGACCCAGGAGGAAACCACCACAGGATCCAACCCATTTGGTGCATTCTTATTATATCAATTATAGCTTTTCAGTGCTATCTGAGAATGTTAGAGCCATATAAACCCTTTCATTATTATGCCTTCTAATGGACCTTTATTAGGATAAAGGCTTTCCCCCCAGCTCATATGGAACACCTAAAAGACAAACATGTCACAAAGTTATATTTTGCAGAATACTGCAGGGCCCCCCCAATTCAGAGTGTTAGATCGCTTTTTGTCAATTGGTAAGAAAAGTTTCCCCAATTTAAAAACAAAACAAAACACCCTACATTTAAAAGACAAGTGATAACAGATGTTTCCCTTGGCAAGCATTACAGTACATTCATTTCACAAGATTTGTTAATATTGTCAAATCAGCTTGGATAAAAACTATGCTGTTTTCTTGAACTGAAAACAAAGACCGGTGACATTTCAAGAGAAATTTAAGGAAAAGATAAATACTCGATGACTCGGTTCTGAATCCAGATATGATTACTTGTGGCCCTCTACATCATTTTATTGGCAGAGACCAGCTTAGGGGGCTTAGGAATGCCTCAGAATTTAGTGCTGTCCAGCCAAAATTAACACTCCCTCTTCCAAAAGGGCTTCTATACACAGGGATATTAATGTCAGCAGTACATAACAGCAGCCACTGCTTGCACTGGAAGAAACACACAAACAAATGAAAAGCTAAAATTAACAGTGAGGATGCTGTTTGTTGACGAACCCCTTTAATGCACCAGTTCGGGCTGGTTCTCTACAAAAGGAAGCACTCCGCTGACGTAGTACGCAATCCCGAGAGACAGCAAGGCGATCACAACGATGAGGAGCAGCACTCGCCAGAAGCCAAGATCCTCCACAAACTCCTGCCATGTTGTTCGGAAGCTGGACAGAACCCCTTCACCTTGCTGCAGGTTTGGGTTGAGAAGCGAGTGGCTTTCCATCGCGCTAGAAAAGGAACACGGAGATACGATAAATCAAAGGTCCTCCCCCAAAAAAACACACATTAGTCCTGATGTGCTCTAATAATTCTGCTACAAGCAAAGGAGGGAAAAGGACCCAATGACTGGGGATATTTTTGGATATGGAAGACCCTGGGATGAATCCAGCCAGCTTTTCAGCTGGTGAAAAAGGAATGAGGAATCTCCTTATGATGGATAAAAGAACATTACATTGGAGAATCCCTGAACCGGCATGGACAAAAGTTATGTAGGATGAGGGGGCTACGGCAGGGAGGGAAACTGGCCAAGGACTGAGGAAACAAGCTGTCTGGATCCCTGCTTCACATCACTGAGCCAAAGATCCACATACTTTGTGGAAATCAGATTGGCTGCACTGCAACAGTGTTCCAATGGCGTTCTCTGTGACAAAACACATCACATCATTTCAGTTTATTGTCCTGCCAGAACGTCCTAACCACCATTTTTTTTTACAGGAAAGACAAGCCTTAAAGGTACTTAAGCAACAGACTCCAGAGCCAGATTGACCACAGCTGCCCAGAAAGCCGCAGCTGTACAGCTGAGAACACCCACACAGATCCACTTGTCCTTTGCCTCTGGTGGGCCTGCTGCAGGGAACACCAGCGTAGAGATGGTAAACACAACTGCTATGTGCACGGCAGGTGGCCTCGGAGAAATCCTCACCTCTTCGCTAATCTACTCTGCAGGCTTCTTTCGTAAAGGGGGGGGAGAGGAAATAAAGCCACACTGAAAAGTCAAACAGAGTGTTGTTGTTTTTTTTAAAAAAAGCGCTTGTCAGTCAATGCAGGTGTCTTGGTACCAAGTTCCTAGTAAAACAGGAGTTCGTGTGCGTGATGTTGCTGAAGAGTTCTAGACTGAGGAGAGCCATGCAGTCTGCAGACAGGCTTGTCTGAGAAATTTATGGTCTAGTCTGTTCTGTACTTTCTAGGGAGTTACAGGCTGCTTCTTGCTTGAGTCCAGCCTGTGCCACGGGGTATCTTTGAAAAGGCTGCATGAGGGGAGGGGCCATGTGGCTATTAGCCACAAGGTATAGATAGGGGCTCTGGGACAAGTGATGCTCTGTCTTCTTGAGAAGGCTCTGAGTCCAACCTCCAACATCTCTAGTTTCAGGATTCTGGTACCAGGCTCTGGAAATGACTTTTCTCCGTCTCAGACTCCAAAGAACTGCTACCCATCAGAACAGACTGTACTGGGCTAGACAGACAAACAGCCTCACTCACTATAAAGCAGCCACATATATTCAGGGGCAAAAAAAAAAAAAAGAAGTTCACCCACTAAGCAGGTTTTGTAAGAATCTCACACAGTCGAACCTGATTTGTGATGCTATCAAGCGGACTGCATGAGCCACAAGAGGAAAAGGGCCACGCCAAAAGGGCAGTGAAGGAGAAGCAAGAGAAGGGAACGTACTGGCCTCCAACAGCCATGAAGATACTCGTACCACCTTTATACCACAGTCATGTGAATTAGACTATTTGGCCCAAAGCTATTTGGCACAGGCTGTCCAGAACACTGGAAGGTGGGTGTCTTTCTGAGAGACCAAGTAGAACAATGGTGGTGCGTTCTTCCTTATGACTGCCTGTCTCTTTCTCTTTTTGAAGAAAATCCCAGGAAACATGTTGGAATATCAGCAAGGGCTCTAAGTCTGCATCTTGTGGCTACTGTTCAGCGTTAGACGCAGAACCGAACTGCCAAAACAAGAGGAATCACATGTGTAAAGAGTACTTTTTGTTTTTCAAACCATCTCCTACTTGGCAAAGCTTCCTGGTTTGCTATTACTAAGGGATTCATTCATCTCACCCCAAATACAACTATGGAGCCTTTGAACGGTCTCTGCCAGTGCACAAGAGGAATGTCCACCAATTAAGAACTGCCCAGTTAATCTATAACCCTCACAGAGGTTAAAGAAAGGTACAGTGTACTCTAAATGGAAAAGGTCACCTGGTGACTGTAAACAAACTAGGCCCATTTTGCTGAAACCAGAAAAAGGCCCTCCAAAGAAACCACCTGTGACATTTTCCATGACAACCAAACTAAGCTCTCTGGTACTGAAATGGTAGCAACTGCCTAAATGCAGCTATTTTGGAAGAACGTGGAAGGGGTACAAATCCCAGATGTTATTTTTTTCTGCTGCTAAGAAAAACAGGCTGCATTTTTGGGAAACGTTGCTACCAACACAGTGGTCGGCTGCTAGCGATGGGTCTCTCTAAGGCTACGTACACAAGCAGAAAACATTCAGAGAATTAAGATGTCTACAAGAAATACACTGCAACAGAGTCAAGGATAAGGGGCTGGAAAATCCAGGCTAGCTGCATTGTGTCCCAGCTGCTAACTTGAGAAAGGAGGCAGGTTGGTCTGTTTCCTCAGAAACTCTGTCTGGCAGAGTGAGCGGCAATTAATTTGATGGGACAAACAGAAGTAAATTTTTGCAGGGTCCAAGAATGTTAGGGCAGAAACGAGGCCCCTAATGGCAGTCTCCTCTGTCTATCAACAACCCCACCCGCCACTCAGCCACAAAGCAAAAAAAAAAGGTAAATGCATGCTAAACACGCAGACTGTTGTCATGTGAGGTTTTGCTGAAAAAGTCGACATGCGTTAAGCCAGTTCACAAGGGACATGGGGCGGTGCTGTTTATGTAGCTGCTACAAGGCAATTTTCATTGCCAAGTCACAAAGTGAATTAGGAAAAGGGATGCCTCAGGTTAAGCCTCAAAACAATACTGAAAAGAAAATCCTCTGAAAAACCCTACATGTTGAATTAGTCGAAAGACGAATAAACTACAAACAAAGCCACTGGAACTGAGCATACTAACAAAAAGAAAGCAGGAGCTTACATTTCTCCGAGTGTGGGTAAAGAAAGCCGTAATTATAAATTTACTCAACTAGTTATTAGAGAGTCACAAGAAAACACAAAGGAAAGCCTAAAGAACTATAAGTTCTGTTCCATTTTTTAGACACGCTGTGCAGGGAAGAACACGGTGTAGAGAGTCTGCTTTGTGTCCCATCCAAAATAAGATTCCGAATAATGACCTGGTTATTCCTTTCCCATCTGCTGCTCTGCAGCCACACACTTGCTTTGCACTTGCATGAAATCGTCAAGGCAGGTGTCTTCTGAACATTCCCTGCAGCAGTTAGGGAGGAGTTACCCATGCCTACTTCTCTGCCACAAGGGAACGCTTTGTGCTTTACTAAGACGACATGAATGAATGAAGATACCTTCTACAGAACTGGACAACTCTGCCTCCTAGTCCAGTATTGTCTGCCTCAGCTGGCAGCAACTCTCCAAGGTGACATAACGTGTTCCCGTTTACACAAGCATGCCTCTTTTCCCAACCTGCCCGCATCCACTGTAACACCTATGATGGACAGACAGAAAATGGCACCTGCCAAAAAGCACCAGCCAGGTCTCAGAAAGATGACATTCTGGAGCTGTTCATGATGGCCAAGTGTTCATGGAGAAGATAAACCTGCAGTTGGGACTGTTTGCTTAGACGGTAGGTGAAGGCTTGTGAGACTTAATGCTGCTCCACAGAAAAAAAGGTCCCCACATATAGAAAACTAGCAAGGGATATGCTAGACTAAAACACTTCCTCCCAGAGCCTTGTTTTCTATGTGAGGAGAATTGTTTCTTTGCAGGGGAGCTGCATTCAACTGTGTGAACCTTCACCTGAAGTCTGAACAGTTACAGCCCGGAGACCAATCTAGTGTGTATGCAATTGTGGCTAACTACCCAAATCCATGGGCCACAGACAGCCCAGTTTGGCCTCTGAAAGTCACCTTGAGGATGAAAGCCCAGACACACCAACTACAGAAACTTCCTGCCTTGTGTGAAGCCCTGCCCTTTCTCCAGTATGCAGAACAACCTCCAGATATGACCATTCACTCAAGTATGCTACACCAGTTGCTGGTATCAAGAGACAGACATGTGTATTTGGCAGTACCTCTCACTTTCTGCTGTCTGCATGGTTTCCAGCTTTGAGTGCGTTCCTCGGTTGAATCCTTTCACCTCCTGCTCCTCCAAGGACTCCAACAATCGGATCACCTCCTTATTCACACCTCTTCGCTTTGCCAGGACCAGCGGAGTCGCACCTTGATGATTGCTATGTTAGGACCCAAAGAGAGTCAACCGAAAGTTCCCACAAGTGTTTAGGCTTGAATCAAGGACAGATGTTCAAAAAGTTGAGTACACAAGCTAGTTTTGTCAGTGAGTGGATTGAGAGAACTGTGAGCTCTGCTTACAGAACAGCTTACAGAACAGATCTGTCTCCCCCTTCCTGTTGTACCTCCCTTAGGAACAAGGGAGAAGGTACAGAAAGTTGGGTTGGAAGACCTCCAGAAGACACAGATGACATCTTTTTTGGAGGGCTCCCTGGAACCCAAACCTACAGATTTTACTCAAGTTCCCTGGTTAGCAGGGCTTTCAGTCAGTGCCAATTCAAGTTTATAAATTTATGCACAGTGCAAAGAGAGAGACCAATGTTTCTACCTTTCCCATAATGCTAGAGCTTGGGGGCACCCAATGAAGCTGATGGGCAACTAATTCAGGACAGATAAAAATAAGTATTTCTTTATTCAATGAGCATTTAGATTGTGGAATCTGTTACCCATGTCCGTAGTGACAGCCATGAGCCAAGTTTCCTTTAAAAGGGGATTAGACAGATTTATGGAGGGGAGGTCCATCACTGGCTACTATTTGTGGTGGTCAAAGAGGACCTCTGTATTTAGAGGAAGTAAGCCTCCAAATTTAGAGGAAGTAATCCTCCAAATACCACTGCTAGAAGGCAACATGAGGGGAAGGCTCTATGATCTGTTTGTTGGCTCTCCCAGGCAGCTGGTTGGTCAATGTATGAACCAGAATGCTGGACTAGATGAACTGTTATGGTCTGATCCAGCAGGATGTTTTTATGATTACCTTAACAGCAGGTTGCTGAAACAGCTGAGACTGCAGGATAGTCTCTTGAAGAGAGGCCCGTTGGGTCAGTGATTGCTTGGGTCACTTCCTATGTTAGGAGACGGTTGTAACAGCTGACTTCCGCTTCCCATGTGGTTCAACCTAATTGCGCAGAAACCCTCAGCAGCCACTGGTACTGTGCAACACCAGCAAAGAGAGCCCCCAAATTATTTAGCTGAGCCACATGGAAAGCAAATTGCAAGTGTTTCAACCATCACAGAAATGCAATTTTGGGAGGTCTCCAAATGGGCAATGTGGGATTTAAGTCAGTCCTCAAGTATTGTAGATTTACTGCGTAACAGGCACTCAAGAAAAGACATAGGGGATTACTTCTATTTCATTTTCCCTTTCATTGAAATAAATTCTGCTATTTGATACTGGCAACAGACACTGAAATCAGGGGCTAGGCAATAACAGTGATGAACATCGTTAAGAAAGACAGTTTGTTGTGATTGTAAGCTGCACGTATATTCATTTGTTTTGTGTATTTGATCACATCAATGCTTCATCCTTTTAGTCATGAACCAGGCCAACTCTTTTTTTTTTTTAAGGAAAAAAACAGAAAAAAGGCACCAATCATTTTAAGGCTGATTGCAAGCTTTAAAAGGTCAGGATATTTGAGCAGATAGTTCAAACAAGAAACCATTCCCGGACAATTGTTAATTGTGTTTGTCAAACAGTATTTATTCGGCACACTAAGTGCTTTTGTCAGGGCACTGGCATATGACAGATGCTACGAGCCTGGAAGAATGAATATACAATATTTTAGAGAAAGGCTGAGTCACGAGGTCGAGGAGCAGGTAGGGTAATGACTGGAAAAGAGCATTTTTATCCATAGAAATGGGGAAAAAAACCTGGTGGGGTATGTGTGTGTTTTCTTTCTATGGGAACAACTAAGAGGCAGCCACATTGTACAATGCTTGCTAAGAGAGGTCACTCATCCCGAGACATTTCCTTCATTCACACTCCAAATCAGAGGATCGTGTCAGAACTGGAGCAGCAGCAGCACCATCCATGTCCAGAGATTTTACATACCGTGATGGGTCTCTGACCTATTAATGGCTTTTTTCCACTCCAGGAAAGCACTGCCATTAGCAGAACAGATCTTCAGGACCCAACCATTACCATGCAGAAGAGACTGGAATCTGTCATCATTATTTGGCTTTTCTGTTGGGCCATCACAACTTGTGGTACGGACAGTTACTTGGTGCTTTTATTGTGCATGGAGAATGTTTTCAGCTACGGCGATGATCACACCAGGAACAGGGATCGCTAGGGTAGAAACTGACCACAACTTACATGATGTATGCAATCATCTGATGAATAATTAAATTGTGAATTGACTGCCAGTGGAGACAGCTATGGCCACAAGCGCAAAGAACTTTAAATGCAAGAGAGGCCCAGCAATGGCTGCTAGCCATGGTGACTCAAGGGAACCACTCTCATTAAGGGAGCAAGCCTCCAAGTACCAATGCCAGGAAGCAACATCAGGGAAAGCCTTGGCCTCTATGCCATGCTTGTTTGGCCCTCTGAGGCAACTGGTTGGCTACTGCACACGGCAGACCCCTCTCCTGACTCAGCAGGCTCTTCTTGTGTCCTCATGTTTCAGTGATGGTATGGAGGAGCGAATAAGGCTATTTGCAAGGATGACACAGAGGTAAAGCACCAAAAGACAGTAGCTCCAGAAGACCTGTGCTGCTCACCAGCTAGTTAGGTAGGAGGCCAGAAGTTCACCGCATTTCTACTGTTGCCTGATTTTTAAATGCTACTGTAGAATAAGCGGCACATCTCAAAGAACAAACAAGCAACCTTCTGCAGCTGCTCCCATTTTTCCTACTGCAGTCATGCTATCAGGCAACAAGTTACCATTCAAAATTAAAAAGCAATGTACAATACATTCAACAATAAATTCAAAATTTAAAAAAAACAGCAATAAACCATGACTTACCAAATATCTATTTTGAGTCCATTGGAGACGAGGAACTGAATGGTATCTACATGCCCACAGAGGTGAAGGGCCGTGTTACCCTGGTAATCAGTAGCCAGAAGGTCAGCACCAAACTTGTGCAGCAACTGACAGATGTCAACATTGCCTCTGGCTGCAGCCAGGTGGAGACCCGTTCGGCCCCGACTGTCTCGAATATTCGGGTCAAAGCCGCTCTCTAACAGCCTCTTTGAATAGTTAAAATCTCCATCAATGCAAGCCTGTAGCAGAGGCACGTTTGTCTGCGAGGAATCGTTGACAAAAACGTAGGACATGGCTGCTCTTCAGCTGGAAGACACACCAAGCCTATGGTTGGCAATGAAAGGAAAACACACAGTGAACCGAAGTTGGGTAAGGCGTCAACCCCTGGAGCCATCACCTTTCTGAATAGGAAGCAACAAATCATCACATGAAACAGGGATCCACATTGTATGGTGCCATATGCGACGCCCCAGGCTATTTTCTTAGGCTGCTTTCACAAGGGTGTGAAAAAATGTACCCCTGCTGTGATAGCAGCAGCAAGCCACCTGGAAGCGGGCAGGAATGGCGGCCACATGCCTCTCCCCCCCCCCGCCCCATGGGAAAGCACTGATGTAATGAGAATCATGCCCTGCAAACCCCAACAGCTGAGCCATGCCATATAGATACACAGAGGCTCAGCTGGGAAAAGAAAAGAAGCCCATTAAAGGGCTAAAATGGGGATAACACAGAGCTGCTCTTCACTGCCGCTCCTCTATTGGCTGTGGAGCATGGGCCCAGTGTTCACACAAGCATTCCACCCACAGTTCCTCCTTTTCACCAGATCAAAGAAAGAAGTCCCAGGAGGTCCCAGGTTCAGAGAAGGAAGTCCCAGGAGGTTCACAAGTTGTTTTTACAATGAGTGCAATGTTGCGTGGAAGCGCCAATTAAATCTGGGGGCACACCGCTCTCTGTTCAGGAAAATGGCCTGCAGAGAAGCACTCTACTTCTTTTCTGAATAGGGAACACTTCTCTTGTCCCCGTTCTGGCAGTGCAAGGATCTGTAGCGCTCCTCATTTTGAGGGCTAATTCAGACATTACTATGGATGTCAGGCTGCTGATAAATGCTTCCTAAGAACAGATCACCTTCCCCCTCGGGGCTTCATTTCAGCACATGGACAGATTGGAGATAAACCAGGAAGAGAGGAAAGATATTTTTCTTCCGCTACCAAAGAAGGAAGCATATGCTCTAGGCTTCCTCAAGGTGACAGATACAGGTATGCAAATCAGGTGTTCTTATAAGCACTATAAATAAAGCCACACTTAATGGGATTTCCTTTTACATCTGTATGCTCCTTATTTACATTTGAACTTCAGTAAGCAATTAGAGGCAACCTGTCACTGCTAAAAAGATCATCCTTCCTGTATATACCAGCCCCAACAGGCTTGCTATACTTTTTTGGCATCCATTTCTCCGCTGTACACTTTTTCATTTGTACAAAGTAAACAACAGCTTTCCTATTAATTTTTCTTTGATGAAACAGGGAGAGAATCTGCAAATAAGGACCAAGTGGGATGCCCGTCACTTGCTTTGAGTGCCAAGTCACTGATGCATGTAGGCATACATGAACATATGCGCACACACAATGGGAGAGAGGAAGAGCTTGCTTGTAAGCAACAAGAATTCAGCCATGCTTGCTCACCTGGAGGCATTTGTTATTCACCACAGGTAACCAGGCAAATGACTAATGATGTGCCATCCATCCAATCACCCTCACATCCTGGTAGCCATTTCCATATAGTTGCCTGTAGATCCTTCTTGTGAACTATGGAGGCGTAACTGCAGATTAGTGGCTTTCCACAAAGGCTGCTATCAGTGAGAGTCACCAAAATCTTCTCCCCCACTGATACTGGGAAATCGGTGTCCTACTTGCTAAAGGTCTAATTGGTTGCCTTCAAGGCAAGAAGCTTTTGGGTAGACACAAACATGAAAGAAGTTCTAAGTTAAGTTTTAACTGTTGCCAGCACCTTATGTTTGTATTTTATCTGTTGTGTTTTAAATGACTGTATGATTTTAACTGCATTTATGTTTGTATGGAAACTGCCCTGAACCTGCGTTGCGGGGAGGGGCGGGGTATAAATCTGATAAATAATAAATAAATGAAAGAAGATATGTGATAGGCAAAGAACATATGGAAAGGATGAGACAAGGCTACAAACTGCAGGAACAGGATTAGTCCACAAGGAGCACACTAGAAATGTCACAAAATCAGATTCAGGTCTGACCCGCTTTTCATGTTTTGTGTTACGATGACGTCCTAAGGGTTTTTAAAATGGATTTTATTGTATTTTAATTGAGGATTTATATTTGTCAATGGGAATTTTGATACTGTGTTGAGAGAAACCCTGCATGGAATTTTTTCAAAAAGTCACCGATACATAAGGCTTCCTTATACGGAAGCAGACCCTTGGTCCACCAAGGTCAGCATTGTCTATTCAGAACAGCCAGGGCCGGCTCCAGGTTTTTTTGCACACTAGGCGAGGTTACCTTCTGCCCCCCCCC